AGCAGACGACGAGGAAGCAGCAGCAGCAGAATCTGAGGAAGCAGCAGCAGCAGAAGACAGCGAGAGACTTGGCCGCTCACGGTCTCGGCGTGAAGACGAAGCTGAAGAAGAGAAAGCGGCAGCAGCAGACTCTGGAGAAGAAGCAGCAGCAGCAGCAGGAGGCCGAGAGGAAGCAGCAGCAGAAGCAGACTCGCGCGACGAGGATGTTTCGGAAGCAGCAGCAGAGTCCAGGGGCCGCGCAGCAGCAGCAAGAGAGTCGAGAGAAGAAGCAGCAGCAGCAGAAGACTCTGACGACACGGCAGCAGCAGCAGAAGACTCTGAGGAGGAAGCAGCAGCAGCAGCAGAGTCCCGCGATGCAGCAGCAGCAGCAGGCGAGGACCGCGACGAAGCAGCAGCAGCAGCAGACTCCAGAGACGAATCCGCTGACGCATCAGCAGCAGACTCCAGGGGCCGCGCAGCAGCAGCAGCAAGAGCAGCAGCAGCTTCTCGCAACGAAGCAGCAGCAGCAAGCTCTCGCCGCGAAGAAGCAGCAGCAGCAAGGAGGTCTCGCCGCGAAGCCTCAGCAGCAGCAGCTTCTCGGGAAGAAGCAGCAGCAGCAGACTCCGACGAGGAAGCAGCAGCAGCAGACTCTGACGAGGAAGCAGCAGCAGCAGACTCTGACGAGGAAGCAGCAGCAGCAGACTCTGACAAAGAAGCAACAGCAGCAGCAGAAGACCCTTTTGCTGTTGCTGAAGATCTCCAAGCAGCAGCAGAAAGGGCTCAAGCAACAGCAGAGGCCCTGGAGGAAGCAGCAGAGGAGGCGCTAGAGGCAGCAAAAGCTGCGCGTGACAGCAGCAGCAGCAGCAGCAGCAGCAGGGGAGAAGCAGCAGAGGAGCGCTTCGGGGCCCTCCCCGAGGACAGGCCTCGATCCCAGGAGTTCGAAAGACGATCCCAGGAGTCCGGGAGGCGATCCCAGGATCGAGTTGACGGGGATCGATCCCAGGAGTTCGAAAGACGATCCCAGGAGTCCGGGAGACGATCCCAGGGAGTAGAAAGACGATCCCAGGATCGCTTTGACGGGGATCGATCCCAGGAGGCCGGGAGACGATCCCAGGATCGATTCGGTGGGGATCGATCCCAGGAACAGCGTGGGGAGCGATCGCAGGATCGGCTTGATGGGGATCGATCCCAGGAGGCTGGGAGACGATCCCAGGATCGCTTTGACGGGGATCGATCCCAGGAAAGGCGTGGGGAGCGATCCCAGGAGGCTGGGAGACGATCCCAGGAGGCTGGGAGACGATCCCAGGATCGGTTTGACGGGGAGCGATCCCAGGAGGC